TATGCTTTATTAACTGATCTGGAATAAAACCAAATAAAACCAAATTTTTGAAAAATTACTGATGAAACAACAAATAACACCAAATTTTTCTTATAAATAATAAAACCAAATAAAACACACGAAATTTAAGAAAATAATAAAACCAAATTTCCGTGAACACTAGTTGTGATGTGAGAGAGAGGGGAGAGAGAGTTGGATAGAGTGGGAGAGTGTGTGAGAGAGCGGAGAGAGAGTGAAAGTGTTTGACAGCAGAATAAATGGAAAATACGTTTTGTTTGTTATGAGAAATATATGACTGAATTTGTTGGACAAAACCGGTCCTCAAATACCACACAAAACGCATTCCTCTAAGCATTGAATTGGCGTTGAATTGCATTTTCACCACTAATTGTCTCACATTTGGCTCCAGTTGTCTGTCATTGCGTTAACACATGTCTCACATCTAATCGGTGTGTTTGTGGTGACCATCGGATCCATTGTCTGTCTCTAAACCACAAGCGTTACAATACATACAACACATTGTTGTTAGTCATGGATTCAATTGAGACAAAACTCAAGCGACTGATGAATGGCGAGACCATCGACGAAGACATCGACGGCGCCATCGATTGCGACTATAGTCTCGACCATCAGATCAAAGAATTGGGTATTTATTGCATTGCTTTGTATATGAGTGTCATTGACTGTCACCACCAACTGATCCCCCGCTGAGCACTCATTGACTCATTTCCTATGCGTATCCATAGCTGCGAAAGGAGTGGAAAGTCATTTGGCGGCCGACTTTCGGCCATTGGTTGGACAGACCGTGACTTACATCGCGGCCGCCGTTGTGTTCAACGAGAAGAATGAGGTGCTTATGATGCAGGAGGCGAAGAGTTCGTGTGCGGGTCAGTGGTATCTGCCGGCCGGTCGGGTCGACCCCAACGAGCAGATCAGTGACGCCGTGAAGAGGGAAGTGCTCGAAGAGACGGGCCTTCTGTTCGAGCCGTCGACACTCATTATGGTTGAGAGCTCTCAAGGAAATTGGTTTCGCTTCACATTCGTGGGCCGTATAGTCGGCGGTCAGCTCAAGACAGTGGCGCAGGCGGACAGCGAATCACTGCAGGCCTGTTGGGTGTCAGACATCAGTTCACTGAGTCTCAGATCAGCCGATTGTTTGCGTTTAATTGATTTCGGCAAACAATATCACGACAACTGCACGGTTTGGCACAAATCGCAGTTCACTTCCATTCGACCCCACAATCAGATGCTCTTAAGACTTGTCTGTGCCATAAGACGAAAGGACAAGTGAGTCCAGCGCTTCCCATAACATTTCCATTGATTTTGACAAACATTTACTTCGATAGCAATCGATTCCATGTGTTGGTGTCGGAGCGGCCGTCACCTCATCTACCAGTCTGTGAGATGAATCCGTCGCGCAGTCTTCACGCGGCGCTCAAACGCTTTATGCAGGTCTGCACTACTTATGCACTATTAGACCACATAAACAATATATTCCCAATTTTGGTCATTTGACTGTCAATAATGTGATTGTATTGTGTTTTGACAGAAAATCTTCAATGCGGACAAACTGCCAGAGCACCGGCCGTTCGGACTGTTGACTGTGGAGCACAACGGCATACCCGGCAAAGAGCACGACGGCCTCTGTTTGACAGTATTGGTCGTATGCAAAGTGCCATTAGAAGAGGCGGTTCCCACCACTGACTACACATGGCTTCAGGTGGAGCCCGAACTGGAAGGCCTCCTAATGAGCAAACTCTCAAAATTCAAAACTTTGTGTCTAAATGTAAAATGAATTCAATTGATAGACATTGCATTCCAACGGTATTACCGTTTAAAAGCACTTATTCTTTATAGAAAACAAACAGAAGTATTCATTAATTAAATCTAAAAATTATTTATTGCGTGCTTTTCTATACAAATATTGGTAAAACAAAGTATCACTTATTCTATATAAACAGTATATGAATGTCCGGTGATTTACACTTCAGTTACTTAGATATGATTTGTTTTAATTTATTATAACATTAATCTCAACATTACTTAATATTTAATGAATTTACAAATTGCATGAATGAGAGCACAGACTCTGAATGTATTTTAATATTTATTTTGATATTACATCAAAATTAATCTTATTTTCTAAAAATAAATTTCATTCAACACAACATGTGATCATTTGATTGACATCTAAATTCATAATTCAATTCAAAAGTTTGCAAATATTTGTCCCAATATTTAAAAAAGTAGTTAAAAGTAAAGTTTGAGAAAGAAATACAAAAAATGGTAAATTAAACACAATATTTGTCGATTGAAATAAGTTTTATTTGTTTAATGGTTTGAAATGTGATGACTTGTGGTATGAAATAAGACTGTCTTTGTTTGTGGTATAACTACTTCTTAATTGGTCTGTCTTTAGCCATTGCGGGAGAATTGTGTTGAGTATCGATTTGAACGAGTCGTCCGAAGCACTGGTCATCGATGAGAACGACTGCCGCCTTATTATTCATTCCCATGTAATGACTGCACGAGAAGACTGTCAGACATTTCTGTTCCCAAAGAAAGGCACATCCGCTGGGATTCACTTCATGGGCTCTTATCAGATGAGTCAACCCATTGGCCATCAGAAAGCCATCCAATGCCTGTTCGTTGAAATAGAAACCTGTCTTCCGTTTGGTGTTGGAAACGAATCCATTCTTCGGGCAGTTGTGTTGGTTATGTCCGAACTCTCTCTCTCTCTCTCTCTCTCTCTCTCTCTTGTAAACTATCTTAGTCTACCCCTTACCACCCCTTACATACCTGGGCGCTGGTCTGATGTCATGCATAGTCAACATTTTGCGATCGTAAGGACACGTGCGGTCATTCTTAAGCCACTCTTGGATACAGTGTTGACAAAAAGTCTGTAGACAACAGTTGGCGACCACCGGTTCCTTCAATATCTCGTGACAAATACCGCACAACAACTCAATACTCTCGGCGTCGCCGACGGCCACAAACCGGTCCTTTTCATAGCCGGGCATCCCTTTGAAGAGACACTAGTTTTTTGTACCAAGTTTTATATGCAAAACATAACCTGTAAATAAATAATACAAAATATTTTTATATAACTTATATATTTTATTATGAAAATGTATAATAGTTTAATAGTTTATTTTATTTATCTATCTATAACTGTATAATTAGAGCAAATTTAATGTAATTTAAAACTATAATTAAGGTATGGTTTGCGTCAACTGTTGTCGTGAACCAAAACAATTGTCAAAATGTTTTTAACTCTGATCTGATTTAAAATCAGTCACAAAAATATATATTATTACGACATGTTTGAGCCGTAAATCATGTATTTATACGTAAAATTTAAGTGCACGGTCACCATATACTCTGTATGAAGTAACCATGCACTAATCCACTCATTAATAAATCAATTTGAATTGTACCTGTAAATATACTGTAGTTAGTAATATATTAATTAAGTTATATAATTAAAACATTATATTAATAGTAATGGTAATGCAATCATAAATAGTATTGAGAATAATTAATAATGCACTTAAATGTATATTAATTATTACAAAGATTTATCCATTTATTTATTGCCAATCATCTCATATTAAATAATATAAGTAGTTATGCAAAACTCGTGATGAATTTGAGTGTAAAAAATTGTATCAAATATTTTTTTGTGATCGTAAGCAAAATGTGAATTAAAACATTTAATATCTCATTTTAATCAGTAATTTGAGTTTGCATTTAAATTAAATACATCATTATCTCTACACATGATAAACATTATTAACTAAACATGGGTATTGTTTCACAAACACAGCTACCCTATAGGGTGTATATGTATACACAACACGTACATTAATAATACACCTTGTTTAATATATTGTGAATTATATAAAAAACACAACTTACCTATGAATACATGATTTTAGATACCAGAATCATTTTATATTGATTTTAGCAAAATATAAGGTAAAATATTATTTACAATAAAATAATTCTTACATTTTTAAAACAAAATACCCTTAATGTTATTACATGTGGATTTACTGTTAGTGTATATGCCTTGTATGGTGTACAATAAAAAACAGCCCAGTTGCTATGCATACATATAAACACACTTGCACTTATTACCAAGTAGGTGTATTTAAATAAAACTAGTATAATATTCTCAATGTCACGATATTCTGCACAGTAGTTGTGTTGCTATAATAATGATAGTAATAATAGGTATTTTAATGATTGTAACCTTGGTATTTTATATTTAAAAAATATAAACATAATATATTATTATTCATTGTATATAAAATTTTATTAAAATAATAACATTTAAGCGATAGTTTTATTAGATTAATAATAAATAACAAATAATTTATTTATTTATTGATAGTTATAATTAGTGTTCACGGAAATTTGGTTTTATTATTTTCTTAAATTTCGTGTGTTTTATTTGGTTTTATTATTTATAAGAAAAATTTGGTGTTATTTGTTGTTTCATCAGTAATTTTTCAAAAATTTGGTTTTATTTGGTTTTATTCCAGATCAGTTAATAAAGCATAAAACCCTTTGTGCGCTCTCATTGCCAATTAAATCAATAATTTTAAGTTTTAATCCATTCATTCGAAGTGTTTTATCTTTTTGGCATGTTATTTACCAAAACTATGTACAAATTATAAAACAATTTAAAAACATTCACAAAACATGTGATATTTGGTCAAATTATACAAATTAATAACAACAAAAATTTGGTTTTATTTGGTTTTATTAATAAAACCAAATTGTATTATTTTTAAATTTCGTGTGTTTTATTTGGTTTTATTGGTTTAACCAAATAACTGTGAACACTAATCACAACACATACAGAGAGTGACAGACATTACGTGTGCTTCGAATCGGTCCATGAAATTGGCGTTACATTCAAAATGTATCACTACTTCAGTGCACTATAGCTAAAGCTGTCACTCACTCTCACTCTGTCTATGAATACCTATTATTAGCGTTAATTGGCTTTTAATTATACGTTACGTTAATGTGAGACAAATATAATATAATGACTATTATTCTCAATCACCACTCAATGCCCCCCTTCTGAGCCCCCATCCACTCCCCCTTCCCCTCCCTCTGCCATGGATTGCGTCATTGAATGCATTATTACGTAATACTAATTATTATTGCTTTGTTTATGGCATTCATATGACGAGTGTTTTTATTATACATTTAATTTTTATAATAATCTGTAATTCAATGTATTTTTTGTGCATTACTTATGATTCATAACACAATTGAATTATGAATACATATGTGTTGTGTTGAGTGAAAAATTATATGACTTTTGCGATACAATTGTTATATAACTAAATGTCAAGCAATTGTTGTTTAGACGTGAAATGATATGAAATGCATATTTTTATTATACGCTAACAGTAAACACATTACCAAACAATGCTATCAATCACTCACACCATCGCAGAGACAATACACCACAAGTTGTGCCAAAGCTTTTAAACTTTCAAATTGAAAGCAATTTTTAATACATTTAAAAATTGAGTTTTCAATAGTTTTATTGATTGACTGAATGAATGGTTTGGCGATGGATTTGTCAAAGAGTAGAGTAGGTCTATGTTTGCCGTGGATTGAAGTGAAGGACAATATGTTTAAACACATAATAATCGTAGCGTTGATTGCATTCAATTCAATGCATATGTTTGACGCCAATCGGCGATTAGACGAGTCGTTAGTCCGACAATACATGTCAATGGATGCGACAATTTATGCGGACATTAGATCCAGACTTAATGGCAAAGACAGTCGACCGCAAAACAACTCGACGGATCAGATCGAGGATAATGTGCGGGAATTGCGGCAATTCTTCAGCGGTGGTGTTCTTCAGGCGCCCACATATCAGTGCCAGTATATGGTCTCCTATTTCGGTCTAATACTGTTTGAGTTCATTAAATGTATTTTGATTAACGAAATACCCGGCAATATATGTCTGGGTTGTGCTCAACAGTACACGGATCTGATCCAAGCGTACGCCGACCTGACCAACGAGACGGTCAGCAATTGTACCCTTGGCTTCATTAATAAAGACAAAGCGAATCTCATTCACAGTCTGTACAGCAATGGTATATATCAATGGAAGGATGGAGACTGCGATAGTATGTCATAAATTAACTATACCTTAACTATACTGTAGATGTGTTTTTAGTTGTTAATTATAAATATTTTGTTGTCTATTGTTTGAACGATAAGATTGTTTCGGAGGTAAAGACCAATACGAGAATCTTGTGGTTCATAACGACACGCAATACTATTTCCAGTTAACCGAAGAGCATATGAATTGCCTTCAGTCGGCCAACAGTTCTCACAATGAGTCTTGCATTGAGTGCAAGACATCCTATCATGTAATCAACGATTACTACGATTTGTTGGCAGAGAATTATACGAATGATGTTTGCAATGATATCATTGCTTCGGTATATCTAATCATACAATAAAAACTAACAAAAAAAACACTAAAAATTAATATTAATATTGTTTGAAATAATTGATATTCAGCTGAAAGATGTGCGCAAACTGTGGAGCGAAACGCTTAAATGTCGGACGGATTTCAAGTCCAATCTATACTTATTGCTATCTGTGTTGGCGGTCGCGCTGTTGCCCATTGTCTTATACTTAACCGGAAGAATGTTTTGTGTCGATAAGAATAAAACCTTAATGAAACGTAAGATTGTATTTCAATTTATTATTCTTTCTTTATAATCAATTGACTTTAATTGCGTTTAAAATGTTTAGAGAAAAGGCTATCATCTTATCATTTGGGAAGTTCTGAAAGCGAACCACTTATGCAGCGATCAAATTAAGAATTGATGCCATATTCTGTCGTATTGTATATAAAATAAGTGATATAAATATTTTCTGCGAATTAATCAATCATTTATCCATTTAAAAAATTTTAAATGAGATAATGTTAGCCAAAAACAATGCACAACAAGACTATTATGAGTACTATTCCTGTCCTGTGGTCAGTAATGACAAAGCCTTCTGTAAATTAGTGATAGCCGTCGGTATGTCTTCGTACTGAAGGGCACTTCCAGCGAATTTGCAATACTTCTGGGCCTTTAACACGTCCTCCGCACTCAAAGACATACCATCTGTTAATACAAGTCACAGATAAAGTTAATTGTTATAAATTGTTAAAGAATTTTATGTTAATTATGTTATGATTTTGAAATAAATATATTTTTGAATTAAATGTCTGACGACTCACTCATTGCTGTGATCACTGACTCGGTTTCGGTGGCCATTGGTTGAGATGAATAACTGGAACTGACTGCCGGTTGATTGCCCGCAAAGTTTGGTGCGCCCGCTCTCGGCAAAGGTTGCGGTGTATTGTTGTCCTCATTGGAGTCACTTGTCATCCCATAATCAGCCGAAGGAATGTTCGGTAAGTATTGGTCGAAATCTTCGGCATCGGTACCGGCGACGGGTCCGGGAACCGGTGTCTCCCCATTCTTCAGACATCTACTAATATAAATGGCTTTCCATTTGGCGTATTTGCAGCGTTTGGTCACCTCTTCGGGAACCTCTCCGAACACTGACAGCACATCAAACAAATGCGAAGAGATTAGGAACAGACGCGATGTGTTTCTGACAGACAAACAATCAATTGAATTAAATGTTGTCAAATCAAGAGTCAATGGGTAATGGATTACTTGTTAGCGCTTCCCTCGCGGTCGTCAGTATCGGCTTTGTTAAACATATTGAGCGCATAGTTCTCGACGTGCGCCTGACCTACCATTTCATTGGTTACCGCCTCGTTCTCGTGTCTCAACTTCTTCTCCTATTTGGACATCAAATGAGATAACAATTCATTGAAACAATGGTTGCGATAGTGTGTGTATTTGTTGTGTGTCTTCCGAAGATTACGTGCCTTTTCTAACCAATCCATGAGATGTGTGAGAAAAACAACCGCTTCTTTGGATTTGCTGTCAATTTTGAGTCCCGTCTGAACGCAATAGAAACGACACCAATAGCCTATCGTTGGATCCATTTTCTCCAAGTCTGACGCGATCCGCATAAATGTCTGCAAAGACCTCAGACTCGGCGGCACTGCCGGAAAGGGAGCAATATTTTGCGCCATTTATTTTGCAATTTAAACAATCAGTTATTGAATGACAACTGAATCAAAATCAATGTCTGTATTAAAAGAGAGAAAATGACAAAAAATGTAAAATCATTATACAATAAATGAAATAAAAACTTATTTTATAAGTAAATAAATGACTAAATAAATGATTAGATTTTTGAATACAATTTAAATTAACACATTTTAAACATTAAATATGAGAAGATTTGTTTAATATATATAAATATATTTATGAAAATGTGGTCAAAATAGTTTGTAATTGGTTTTGGATGGTATGGCCGAGTGGTGAGCTGTCACTTGCATTCCTCGGGTTCGGTGTCCAACCACCACGAGTCGGGAAACAAGTACTTCTGAATCTCAATGCCCTCGTGAGGCACCGGTAGTCTCAACGACATAAACATCTCCGTTGGCAACGGTTTGGCGATAAGTCTTGTGGGGAAACAGTGAATGAGATCGCAATTGTCGGGCGGAATGAGACGATTCTTCCACCCGACCCGACGGTAATTGTCGTCCCTCTCCTCAAACAGATACAGTTTGACGACAGGCCTGTCGTGACCCACGGGTGTCACCCAATACACGCCATCCGCCGACTGGTAGGCGAGTGTCAGGCCGTGGCGTTTGAACGCACGGATGAGAAACGCCTCCTCGTATTTGGTCACGTCTTCGTTGAGAAGACACACATCAATGGTTTGGTGCCATCGAAGCGGTCCCTTCACTCCCAGCGAACCCCACAGCGAGTGATAGCACAAGAAGTATGTGATGTCCAGCGTATTGAACACGTCGTTCACCACTGCGGTCAGTGTGTCAGACATACGGATCCGCTGCTGCGGTGTCTGTTCGCAGACCACCCGCTGATCGGCGCCGAAGTCTCGTCGACCGCCGCCGAAGACATTGGCCAACGAATGGAGGATTAGATACAAAAGCAATACAATTAAAGCCGTAATCAAAACGAAACGTAACTTTCGGCGGATTTTGAGAAAATAAATCATCGCTTAAGACGTCGAGTGACTGAAGACACACATGTCTTACACTCAACGCATGGTTTGCACAACACTTGAGTTGATTGTAATTAAGCCTCAATTGAGTCAAATCGAGTAATGATTGCTATTATTATTGTCTCACCTTTTGATCGGATTTGCTTTCAATTGAGAGTTCAAACGAATGAATGAATGAATCATTTGTTTGTGTTATCTCTCAAATGCAATACTCTGTCAAACACTACAACACATACACCACTCCCACCCCCTCTCCTCCCCTCTATCACAACCACAAACACTGGCATTCATATCATCACTCATTGGATAAATACATTAATTTATACCACTATTAAAGAGTTAATTAATCCATTTATTAGTACTTAATTATAAAACTTATATTAGATTTAATTATAGACTTTACACAACGATTGTATTCAATTAAAAGCCAGAATAATGTTAAGGGGGCGTCAAATGTGGGCTCAAATAAAACGTTAAGAATGGATAACGTTGTGTATGAATGGGCCGAACGTGTGCTTTTCATTTGAGGCAAAAGCTATTGCTTTCGCAGTTTGAGTGCAAAACCTGTGTTTGGCTTCAATTGAATGACACAAACAATACAACGATTCAAGAGTTTCGGCCTTTTTTAAACAATCAACGGATCAGTTGGCGAGTAAAGAGTTTGCCATCGATTGCAAAGAATCGCTCGCAATATCAACGGGTAAGTGACGGTTACAGCCGCTGTCCACCTCTGTTGGGCTCTAAACCATTAATATTGAATCTAATGGTGTGTTTAATGCCTTTTTGCAGACATTTGAGTGGATAATAGTTAGCGGATAAGCGGAGGAATAAGCGGAAGAATGTCTGCTTCGGCTCAACTGCGAGAACTGCTTCATTTGCCAGCGTTTGGTATGAATACTATGAAT